CATTGAAGAGAAATGAATGAATATATATCAGATAAGGGGAAAACAATGCATGAGAATATTCATGAGCACCATTCATGATTCTCATTCACCATAGTGATATTTTTGTTACCGGTACTGATGTGTTTATTTGCCTGTTAATTAAAACCCGATGTGCATCTTTCATTAGTGATTATATTTGAATGTATTGTAATTGTCTTTTAGGGAATATTTACGGTGGCACAAAAAAAATTCTTTTTCTTTTGATTTAATTAAAACAAAACAAACTACACTAAGAAAAAGAAAAAAAAAGAAAATTGCCTTTTTTCCCCCGAATATCTTCATCTTATAATAAACCATATCTCCTTATTTAAGAAGCGCAAATAAATAAATATGCAAGTTTTAACTACATGAATTATTTTAAAAAAAAATAAATATATAATATTCACACTGAACGTTATCCGATTTCCCCTTCCCCTTTCTGCCTTGGATTACTGAACTCATTATTGAAAGTGATGGCTATTTTTTTGCACAGGCTCTGGTCAGTGTCCACTGGGAAGACACAAACTGCATTTTCGAGGGATGAGACGGTTTTGAACAAGCCCTGGCACCCTGGGATGTCAAAGTAGCGTTCGATGTTGGCTTCATTCACAAACACGATGGATGACTTCTCCACCTGCAGGTAGAAAAAAATAATGGTATAACCTCTCCAGATGGTAAGGATTTCAAAAGGAACAAGCTGGGAAGCTCTTTAACGTGGTCATGATGTCTCGGAGTGGTTTCCACAAGAGCTTAAAGCTTTTTTCTACACAAAAATTGCCATCCTTTTAATTTCCTTTAAAACAAAACAAATAAGAAAATAATTTTTTTTTGTTGCTTTCATCAGATGTCCCACATATATACAAAACATTAAAATTTCAAGCCAGCAATATCTAGACCTAACGAAAAAACAGAAAAGTGTTTTTTCCCAATTCTTAAAAATCCTGAAGGTAGTTTTAAAAAATGGTGACCAATGAGGTTCTGATATGCAATTATTATGAAAAACATTTAGCACAGTTCTGTCCCAGTCACCATAACAAGCACACAATTAAATTTAACAAAGCAGAGAACACTCGGGATCATTGATTAGGAGAACTCTGCTGGCTTAATTAACATAAGACTCAAGAGCTGTCTAAATGAATTTTGGATAGGAAGCCAGTTAATAGAAAAAGAAAAAAAGGAATAGCAAACATATAAAATGTCTGTTTTGTGCCAGAGTTTTAAACAGTACTCATCTTTTAACTATGAGTGTCTGGCTAACAATCTCTTATTCCATACATCCCTGTGGCACAACAGCCCATGTAGGGCTTTGGCTTGCCTCGCCCCATCCTTTGACTCAGATTCAACTGATGCTTTTCTTTTCCATGCTTTGAGTCTTAGCTGTTGTAGATCCTTCTCCACATCATCCATCCATCTAAGCCTAGGTCTGCCTTTGAGCCGTTTTCTTCTGGGTTTTTGATGGTGAACCCTCTTTACTCCTCTGTCATTTGGCATTCTTCCTAAGTGTCCTGCCTAGCGTAGCCTACCCTTTTTTTATTTCTGCTAAAAGTGTGGTATCCTGATAAAGACTACACAATGCCTGGTTCATTTGTATCCTCAATCAATATTCATCCTTTGTTGGTCCGTATATTTTCCGGAGAACTTTTCTTTCCCACCTGTTTAATAAGTTTTCTGCCATTTTTGTTGGGGTCCAAGTTTCACTTGCATATGATACAACTGGTCTGATTACAGTTTATATATAGTGTTCTTGTAATATTTTTTACTTTTGAGTATTTTCTGACTACTGAAGTATGCCCTGTTTCTAGAAGATATTCCATCTTTTATTTCTGTTAGTAATTCATTTCTTTCATTTAACAAAGATCCTAGGAATTTGGATTGATTAACTTTTTCAAAAAATTGGTTTCTAATTTTAATGATTTTTGTGCCTGTTCTTCTCTTAACATAGTCATCTACCGGTATTTAGGTTTAGGTTGTTTACTTCCAGCCATGCTTGTAGTGATGTGTCTTCTTATTGGATAAAAGCTTTCTATATGTCTTTACTACTTTTCCCTAACAGTGCTGTGTCACCATCTGCGAGATACTGAAGGGGTTGGTTGTGGAGAGTACCCATCGGTGGAGAGTACCTATTGGTTGCATATCTTGGGTATGGAACTGGACCAGGCTTTAAACTCTTTTCATGGAACTGGACTATGGCTTTCAACACTTGTTATGAAACTGGCCTATGGCTTTCAACACTCTTTCTGGAACTGGACTATGGCTTTAAAAACTTATTATGAACTGGACTATGGCTTCCCACTCTTAATAAGGAACTGGACTTTTGCTTTCAACTCTTGTTATTTAAAACTGGCCCCCAACACAACACTAACCTAATCTCCACAATTTTGATCTAGTAACGCTAAAAAAAACTGATGTCCTTTAAAGCTATTTGTGATTGGTCCACATTTCCATTTAAAAATGATTTTTCTGAAATATTAGATTTCATTTTAATAGAATTGAAATTTAAAAATTGTTAAAACAGTACAAAAAAACAGCACGAAAAAAACAACAATATTAATTTTTGAAAAATAGTATTAAAAAAGCATTGTAAGGTCCCCCATCTTCCAAAATGTGGGGGACTGCTCTGCTGCCACTCCTACCTCTGCATGTGTGTGTTTGGTTATAGTTGTGGCACTAAGGTCAATCACAAATGTCTTGTGCTCCTTGTGATTCAGTTTGTTGACAAAAGCTCTAATTGCCTCATCCTGTTTGGAAGGAACCAAAATGACAGATGGGAATCATTTTAAATCTATTAGATGACAAATTTCATTTACACAAACATACATTTTCATGATTAAAATGTACATTCAGTTTAAACGACATTTAACTTGTTTATTCCCCATTCTCCTTTAATGAAAAGTAGATAGAATTAAGTTAGAGCTATCAAACTTTATAGAAACCCATCAGTATAAAAATGGCCCCCTCACACTTCAGTTAAGTCTATTGGTTTTAAGGGAGTTTAAAGCAAAGTTACAAATCAGGGACAGCAATATGTGTGTCCAATCAATTGGGTACCGGTAATTTTTTTGAAATAAATTTCATATACGGAAAATTGATAGATAGAAATTTGATCAAACGGAAGTTTGGTAGAATTTTTTTTCTCCAGTTCACACGATCAAATTTACGTCAAATTTCTTTTTGAACGCTCTATTCTATATAGTAAAACAAAATAATTCACTCAAAACTAAATTTGACGCAAAATTTTAATGTGTGAACTGAAAAAAGTTTCGACCAAACTTCTGTTTGATCAAATTTCCGTCTATGAAATTTCTTTCTAACAAATTTCTGGATGTGCAATCAATTACATTTAGTAATATGAATAAAAGAATTTTTTTGTTCCTTCCTAAAATGAAGAATATGAACTGACATTGCCACAGTGATGTTGACATTGTCACAGTGACAGCTGAAATTTCAATGGTGACAGTCAACACTGCCACGTGACATGTTACACTGCCAGTGATAGATAACACTACCACAGTGACAGATTACACTGCCACAATGACAGCTGACACTGCCACAATGACAGCTGACACTGCCACAGTTACAGATAAGAAGCCATGTTGGGGAGTTACTAGAAGCCTCAGGCTCCACTCTCTTGCTGACAAGGAGATAAGTTAGGTGCATGTGTGCTCATGGTGCCCATCAAGGAACACAGCGCCATGATGAAGATGAGATATAAAGATGCGATATAGAGATGCCAGTCAAAACTAGTGGAAATGACATCGACAAGTCCTTACCAATGATGCCACTGTTAATTTTGAGCCTGGCTTTTCAAGCCTGATATATTCCACCTCATTTTCTTGGAGTAAGTCTGGATCAATAGCTTTTCCATCTGAAATACGATACATTTTGTTAAAAACAAAGACTTAAAGACATATTTACTATATTACACGAAGTTTCTGTTTCTTTAAAATTAAAAATGTAAAGCAAAGATAAAAAAAATATTTTTTTTTAAAATGAAGAACAATTTTTTTTTTACTTTTACGTCATTGACGGCAAAATTTAGATGTCTGATTAAAAAGAGAATCATACAAAATCTTAAGAGCTTTTGAACATCCCACAGAAACATTGTGAAAGCCAGGAATCAGATAAAGCTTAATGATAAAATAATTGCACACAGGCATCTGATGCTGAATTAAGGGTCATTGTTGTTTGTAAAAATGACTTTTTTAAGTAACAAGAGGTCTTACTGATACTTAATCATTTTAATGGATTACACAGATTTAAATTAATACAATTAAAAAAAACAAAAAAAAACGAAGTAATGATTTTTAACAAGTTACAAAAAGAAATGAAAACCTTACCAAAGACAAATATTAGCACTGTGTTGACCAGTTTTAAATTTTTCAGACTAAGACGACTGAAAACTTCACACACTCGACTGGAAATGGCATCTGCATTTTTACATGACACATCCACCAACATGAGGCGTTCCGATTTCTCAAAATATTCAAGGAAAGATTTTACACTGTTCTCAAACATTAATGCTCGTCTCTAGGAGGAAGATACAGTACATGGTGAGAGGATAGGACAGATGTGAGGGAGGTGGTGGTGGGGGGGAGTTGTGAGAGAGGTAAGACAGATGTGAGGGATGTAGGTAAGACGTATGAGGGAGGCAGGACAGTTGTGAGAAAGGTAGGGCAGATGTGGGGTGGGTAGGACATGTGAGGGAGGTAGGACAGATGTGACAGAGGGAAGGACACATGTATGATTCTGGGATCTCTTGAATGAACGGCTATATGGTAAAATAATTATTTTATTTGATTGAGTGAATATGATTTAAAAGAAATTTTTTTTCTTTCACTTGAAAACATTGACATTAATTTGACACAATCCCCGACCCAAAATGTGAGGAATTTACTGGCAAGAATTACCTTAGTCCGAGACAAGTCCACTTCGTCAGTCTGGAAGCCAGGTTTTTCCTCTACCTTTTCTTCTTTAACCACCTCCTCTACCTTCTTGGAACCTTTAGTTTTCGTGTTCATGTTCATTGAAAAATATAAGCTAAATGAGATCGGGTACTGAAAGAAATGTTAGGAGGAGGAATTAGCTTGATTTTAAAAGTGCCAGCAAATGACAATAAATAAAAATTCAGTCAATTCATGTAAGGATTCCTGTTTCACTAAGGATATTGAGGAAATTCCAACATAAGTCTAGAAACTTAAAGAAATAAAATTTCCCCACAATATTTTAGATGCAAATGAATTGTTCACAATCTTCTCATCATCTTTAAATGATACGGAGTTATCTAGAAAAAATCAAGTATTGTTTCAAACCTTCAAGAAAATTTTAAAAAAATGAATTTTCTATGTATTCTTTGTTCCAATAAGGAAACATCTAAACCAAAAGGATATGGTTATAGTCATTTTAAAAAATAAATATTAATTCGGGGGTTATCATTTAAGTTGTCACTAAAATAGAAGACCCTATCAAAATCAATAAATATTCTGTTTAAAATCCACAGTTTTTAAGTGGGCGTTCGGCTTGAGCATGATATAATGAGGAGGGATGTATGTAACTACAATCTTTGGGTCTTATTAAACTAGTCACCCTGATCTACCTTACTATCCGTGTGATTTTCTTAAAATGTTTAAACGAACAGTTAGCAATTCTCTGGTATCACTAAACACTTCTTTGAGTGTACAAGACTGAAGACTAAACACTTTTCAGAGCACAAGATTAATAGAAAAGAATTGAGATTAAACAAGGTGTAAATTTTAAAAATCCATTTTCACCTTTTTCTCAAAGACAGCCATATTGCTGGAGCAGTCTTGAGAGAAGTTAGCTGTCCGAATAATATATTTTAAATTAGGCATCATGTCCACCAGGTACCTCCCCCGAGGGTTTTTGTCGACTGAAGTTGTGACTTCCCGCAAGATCCACGACAAAGAGATGGTGGTAGGATCCTCCTAGAAATTGTATCAATATAAAATTTGTTGTTTTTTTCAAATAAGCAATAAAAATGTCAGAAAAATTATATTGCGTACATTTATAAGTTTAGCCAAAAATTTGCTTTTCCTCCCCTCTTTTTATGTTTTGCCTCCCTTGCCAAACTCTTTGGTTAAACAATCAAGGCTTATAATTTGTTAAACTGATAATAATTACAATGATGCAAATGTACTGTTGGTCCATGTCTTAGCCAGTCAGATAACTTATACAAGTATAAGAGCATACCACAGGTGATTGAGATGGGGAATACTTTGCTTCCTTGTCTGAGTTAACATTTAATAGAGAGATAAGGCCATGGTACAATGCTTGACTACTACTTCAACATGATAAATGAAGATTTTACTGCTGTCAGTTATCTTGAACCAGATAAATAAATCACATTTTTAAATATTTGTTAGAGCTTTCCCTAAATTGATTCTTGCAATTTAAAATAAATCTAAATTTTTACATGATCATTAGCAATGATATTCGCAACTTGACTCTTGCATGCACATTTTTTTATATCTAAAAACATAAGTACCTATTATTCCCTCAACACAATGTAACACAATGTATTTTGTGAGATATCTCTGTTTTCTATCAGCTAAACTAAAAATTACCCCCCCCCCCTTTGCACCCAAAGCTTAACATTAAAACACAAAACACACAAGCTGGGGCAATAATTTAGGTAAGTGGCCTGTTTAACCCATTGCCTTTACGCATCATTTTATTGTAATATTCTAAATGCCTAGTGCTAAAGGTTAAAAATGCACCAAGGGGGGGGGGGGGGGGGGTTGGGTGTGTGTGTGTGTTTGGGGGGAGGCATTGTCCTTGTAGCTTAAAAAAAAAAATATTAAAATAAATGTACTGTGAGAGGGAAGGGAGTGGGCTGTGCAGTTTACATAAATATCAAGCACTCGATAAGACCTTGTACCCAAAGAATTCATTTCCCCTGAATGTGTTCTATGCTTGCCCATGTATACTTTTATTGATTTATAATTCATCAGCATCATTCCACAATCACTCATCATCTCTGTTCAGAAATTATATTATAGGGTCTCCAAACAAACTCAAGGAGAAAATTTCAATCTGATAAATTCCAGGGCAGTTCCCATTATTACGAAACTTCTCAAATTTGAAGTCTGAACAAAAAAAATCAATTAATTTTTTTGTTTTATTAATGATTCCCAGTTGTGATTTCAATGGGCAGATTCTCAGTGCATCCCCGCCACACTGCAAAAACAACCAGTTTTTAAGAGAAAGAGGAGATCTTTTTATTATATCCTCTAACCAGGTCTATCATTGCCTATGCTTTTGATGAGTTATTTTTTTTTAAAAATGTATTGACACAAATATAAAGACACATGCAAAGGACACTTCTAAATGGGTCAATTAAACAATCTGTTTACACAACAAGCGTCTGAATTATTACAATTGGGGGACAACTTCAAAATGTATGTGAATATAAATGGAACAGAGAAGTTTTTACACCATTAACAAAAGTGAGAGTAATGGAGATGGCAATAAATTTATAAGACAAATAATCCAACTAAAATCTAGTGCAGATTTTAACTTTTCTCTACAGTCCAAGTAACTATAAAACATCAAATATCGGGCAATATCATTTCTACAATACCTCCAGCATTCTCTTCAACTCATGCACAGATTCTTTTCTGTCTCCATGCTCGTTGCTAGCGTCTGCATCGCGGTTGTTCTCTGCCAGTTTCTGAAGCATGATTTTCTCCACATTAATAAAGGTGAAGTCAAAGACCTCAGACAACTCTGAGACCAGCCGACCTTTCTTTGAGCCAGGACCCCCTGTACAGAAGAAGACAACAGCGTACACAATATGTAGAGGCAATGTTTCCCTCAGGAATAATTTTTTTTAAAAGTTAGATAGATAACTCAATGCCGCTGGTGGATAATTAAGCAACTGCCTAGCAGAACATTATTTGATGCAAATTTTTTTAATGTAATTTATCCAGGATTTGCTATATAAATCTACAAGGTTTTTTTTTTTTATGTAAGCTTTTAGCAGTCATCTCAGAGCAAATAAAATCTTGCCTGAATTAAAAATAGGACAAGGGTGTAAAAGTTCAAATGATAATTTTATAATCAAGAATAATTCATCTTCCAACTGCCTCCTCCAAAACAAACACAACTTTATTTATTTAAAAAAAAAAAAATTAAAATTTTTTTTTTATTCTTATCTGTTGCAAGAAATAAAATTACTAGAGCAAGGTTAAAATCATTCAATTAACACTGAAAAAAATCCTAAGCATGACTCAAATGGAGTAAAAATCCAGTGCCATTACACAACAAAGAGCATTCTGACTCAATTATTGATTTCATTAGAACTTAAAGAGGCAAGAAATGAAGTTTCAATTTAAGATAAAAAATTGATTGCCTCCACACACTGCCACCAGCTCTGTTAGGCTCGTTAATAGGTCAAAGATTGGTGACATCATCTTAAACACTACCTAGTTCAAGTGGTCAAGGGATATATACAAGTTTGGTGTTCAGTTAAATAAAAAAAAAATATTTTGAGGCTGAAAAAAAACAAAAAAAAAACAAAGTTGTTTGTTAAAATCTATAACTGCTATCAGTTTAGAAATGGTCTCCTTAAATAAAATTGGTCTGAGACATTTATTTATTCCACGGATGGACAACTTATCCATTGATTTTTTTATATTTTTCAAAACTGCTCAAGATAATTGGGCCAATAACATTGTGACAAGAAAAACATGTGTATATAAGTCAATTTACATTGAAGAGATCTAGTTCTGTTTAAAGATTTGTATGTTGATTTTGTACTCTCACAAAGTTAATATGTGTGCTAAGTTTTACTTTATCACAGGTTTGAAGAAATTATTTCTTTTCCAATTCATGCCACTGACCTATAGATGTGACTCTCCATGCATATTTGGGTTTCAAATGTTTGAAATAACAGATAGAAAGATAACAGACCAACAAACCAAATTCCTTTTGTGAGCTACCATGTTGATATGAAAACTAAGACAAGAGATGTGCTAAAGGTATGGTATCCAACTGAAATTACCAAAAATAAGGTACAGTTGAGGGCGCAAGGGCCAAAACATCTTTTTACAATTAATGACATCAATTACTTTGTGGGAGCAGGAAAGGGCTTTGAAAAGTCCAGTATTTGAGACACGTGAACTGATGATTGCAGTGCTTCTCAAAGGGATGTCTCGAATTCATTGTTTTGTACGTACATTTTGGTCACATGCTTATGATTACAGCGAATATAACTATTCCATTTTTAGCAGCTTTGGAAATATCTAATAAGCTAAAATAAAAAAAAAAGAACAATTATTGTATCATCATTACTCAGAAAGTTTGCCTCAAAACTGACACAAGGCTTTTTATTTTAGTCCACTGCAATAAACAATACTTTTTTTTTCATCTTCTTCTGTAAGCCACTGTAAAACAGGGGTGTCCAACCCAAGGCACGTGGGCCACATGCAGCCACAATGGCTTTGAATGGTGCCCAACAAAAGAATCATAAACTTACAAACTTTATGAGATTTTGACTGAAAATACAATCCAATTTTACTGGTCTAATGTCTTACTTGGCAGAAGAAAGAGATTTTATAACTCCTCTCTTATACTTAAGATATTTTATATGCGATACTAAAATATGTTAATGCGATTTTCTTTGTCCATTGGGTACATATCTGGTATAGCTACTAGTGGTGCCTCAGCAATGATAGGTAAAGTAAATAGAGATGAACTTGTAAAATTAATAGAAGACTATGCAATGGTCTACCAAATTAATCTATGATGAAATAACACTGCATAGTACACCAAGAACATTTATGAGCAAAAAGCGTTAAGGATAACATCACAAGAGTGTCATTTGGGCTGTAAATTTCATAAGGACCAAGGGATGGAATCATTGCCAAGCTCGAGGAATTCCTTAAATTTATGGATGTTGACTTTCAGGGCATCATTTATTTTTTAGAAGTAAGATGATAAAATGTTGAAAAGATTTTATGACTTGCCAAATGAAATCAAGTTGTTTATGGAATCAATTTTTTTTTTTTTAGACAGAACTTGATGACAAAAATTGGCTCACAGATTTGACTTTTTTTTTTGGCAAACTTGACTGCTCATTTCTATGATTAGAATGCGTCTTCTGGGTGAAAACAAACTTTTTAATATAAAACGTTTTCTAACTAAAATAGTGCTTGAAATAAAACTGAAACTATGGCAATCTCAAATGATGCCAAGCAATTGTATGCATTTTGATATGTTAACATGATACAGTGAAAATAATATTTGATACAGTAATTTGACAACTGGTTTCAAGATTTCCTGAAAGATCACTAATCTTTTGGTATATTTGCAACTCCATTTTCAGTCGACATAATCATATTACCTGCCAATTTTCAAATGGAATGAACAGAGGTATAGTATTTCATTGAATTTTAAGAAAAATTTCACAATTTCTTTTCACTGAACTTCTATAAGATTAATCTACCCAGAGAAAAATATCCTTGGCTTTAAAATCATGCCTTATTCATGCCGTTGCTTTTGAAAGCACCTACATTTGCGACAAGCACTTTTCAAGGATCAAGCATGCGAAGAATAAAACCAGAACCAAAATATCATATTAGCACCTTCAGAACTCACTGATCATTGCAACTAGGGTCTCAAAACCAATGTCAAACATCTCAATAATTTCATGTTTCACTTTTATAGAAAAAAATTCATGAATTAATGAAGTTTAAAGTACTTTAATATGTTGACCATAAATTATAGGATTTTTATAATCAGCTATTCTTAGTGTATTTTATATGTGGCCCAAAAAATGTGTCTTCTTCAAATGTGGCCCAGGGAAGCTGAAAGGTTGGACACCCCTGCTGTAAAACAAAAGCTGGCGACACTCGACAGCGTCACGACCCTCGACAGCGTCATTACTCCCAGGATGTAGACTTGAATTGGTTTTGTTTTTGAAGGAAAATTTTTTTTTTTAAAAGGTAAAAAAATATTTCTTTTGTTTTTTTGTGATACAGTTAAGAGTTTAAGCTTGAAGGCTTCAGGTAAATTATTGATTCTCATGTCTGGAGAAGTGAGACAGAAAATCTATTCTCTTAACAAAAGCCTGAGTTGACTTGAATGATATTTAAGGGGAAAGCTTTTTCTCTCTCTCTCTCACTTTGCTGTTGCTTCATTGAAGCTATCCAGTTCCCATGCCATTTCAACACGTGTTTGTGTAGAATGCAATGTTTGTATAGAATGCAATGTTTGTATAGAATGCAATGTTTGTATGGAATGCAATGTTTGAATAGAATGCAATGTTTGTGTAGAATGTAATGTTTGTATAGAATGCAATGTTTGTATAGAATGCAATGTTTGTATAGAATGCAATGTTTGTATAGAATGCAATGTTTGTATATAATGCAATGTTTGTATACCCTGCATTTGTGTATAGACTGCAATGTTTGTATAAAATGCATTTTTTCTATAGACTGCAATCTTTGTATAGAATGCAATGTTTGTATAGAATGCAATGTTTGTATAGAATGCAATGTTTGTATAGACTGCAATGTTTGTATAGAATGCAATGTTTGTATAGACTGCATTGTTTGTATAGAATGCAATGTTTGTATAGAATGCAATGTTTGTACCTTTACACTGCAATGTTTGTAACTATAGACTGCAATGTTTGTAACTATAGACTGCAATGTTTGTACCTTTAGACTGCAATGTTTGTAACTATAGACTGCAATGTTTGTGTAGACTGCAATGTTTGTATAGACTGCAATGTTTGTATAGACTGCAATGTTTGTATAGACTGCAATGTTTTTGTATAGAATGCAATGTTTGTATAGACTTCAATGTTTGTATAGACTGCAATGTTTTTATAGACTGCAATGTTTGTACCTTTAGACTGCAATGTTTGTAACTATAGACTGCAATGTTTGTGTAGACTGCAATGTTTGTATAGACTGCAATGTTTGTATAGACTGCAATGTTTGTATAGACTGCATATTTTTGTGTTGATTGACCACTTTTAGTTCCATGCAAAGTTGGATGCAGTCTTTTGACCCCGCTGGCTGAGAGCTTACCTCCTCAACCAAGAATGGCCCTTACTTGACCAACAAGTCCATTCCATTTGGCCCCTTACCCACAGCTGGGGACAACACCATACATCTTCCAACTCCCTACCTCTTAAATCAGGGGCAGGTAACATCCCCGTTGCTCCACAGAGCAGACGTTGGGTTTCGTTCAATACCAAATATATATATAAAAGATAAGATAAAACAGTGAGAGCATTTAAAATATTTAAGAGACTGTCACGTTATAGAAACTCATCTCACATCTGAATTACAGACTTCCTGCCAGATATGACATTTCCAAGTAACTGAATACTTTTAATCAGAAAAATCTAGCCAATGGGGTAACATTATGAATAAATGCTTTAGCTCAGATGATAAAAAGTTAGATGATATAAAAATTTATTTTGAAAATACATTTTAAATTTGTATTTTCTTCACCTTAATCTGAGTCAATGTGCCATTTTTACCCAATGAAATCCCATTTATAGGAACTCAATCAAATCCTAGCTATAAGTACTCACTGACATGCTAGCTAAGCCACTCAATAAAACCCTAGCTATAACCACTTATTGAAACCCTAGCTATAGACACTGAAACTCTAGGTATATGCACTCAATAAAAACCTAACTATAGGCACTCAATGAAACCCTAGCATTATGCATGCAATGAAACTATAGCTACCGACACTCAAACCTTAGGTATAGGCACACAATAAAACCCTAGCTATAACTACTTAATGAAACCCTAGGTATATGCACTCAATGAAACCCTGGCTATATGCACTCAATGAAACCCTAGCTACACCTACTTAATGAAAACCTAGCATTATGCACTCAATGCATCACTAGCTATATGCACTCGATGAAACCAAGCAATATGCACTCAATGAAACCCTTGTATTATTCGCTCAATGAAACCCAGCAATATGCACTCAATGAAACCCTTGCTAAAGGCACTGAATGAAACCCAGCTATAGGCACTCATTGAAATCCTAGCTATAACCACTAAATGTACTCAAACTCTAGGTATAGGCACCCAATGAAACCCTAGCTGTAGGTCTGTTTGTCAATGGTTGGGGGCAGGGTACGGACATGTCACTAGGTCAGTGGGGGACAGGGTATGGCTATGTCAATGGGGGGGGGGGGGGGGGTTGGGGTTAAGTCAAGGGGGTAGGCAGGGGAGGGGGGTGGGGAGGGGGGGGGGGGAGGGGGGTGTAGATGGGAGGGGGGGGGGGGGGAGGTTAGGGTTAAGTCAATGGGGTAGGCATGGGATGGGGGTTGGGATGATGGTAGGTGGGTGTGGAGACATATAAGAAGCAGATGATTGGAAGCAACAATAAATTATAAATTCAAAATTCTGTTAACACCCAATGGGCAACTTATGATTAATAACCAATATAAATCTCAAGTTAACAACCATAACTACATGATGTGATTAACCACCACTTTAAGAAGCTCTTGTTTATGCACTTAATACTTAATACAATGCAGTTTGTAAAGCGACCCGGTTGAATTCATTTTAAATAATTATTTTTTGGATAGCAATATTAACCAGGCTAATGTGTAACACATAAAGGAAAATAAAAGAGTCAGCTTGCCACAAAATATTACCACAAAAAAAATTAGACTCTGTAACTCTATGTTAGTTGGATACAATCTCAGCAGCAATTGTAATTTCTGTTCATTTCGAAAGCCTCAACACTCAACATGAGACCGAACAGACCCTCCATTACAGGCCAAATATATGGACATCTCTGACTTTAACAGACAAAAAAAAATGAGAGGGTTGCTCTCACAACGATACCAATGATTACAGGCACCCTTGCAGAAATTAGAAACAGCTGTCAGTAGTTTTTGTTGTTGTTGAAATTTGTGTGGGTTTAAATAGAGTACATTTAAAACGAGCAATCAATAAACTGCCCAACTACTTTGCTCAAGTCAGTGTGTAATTGGAAGCATCCATTTATAAGTATTTTTAACATTACTAATGAACCTGGAAGAGAGGCAAACAAAAATAAAAAACATTTATTATATGTGTACAGTTTTCTGGTCTAGTACTTGTGAATGTCATTAAATAGTATTTTAAGTTTAATTCACCTGCTCTTGAATGGTCTGTCACACTGAATAAACTGATTAGGCACAGACAGAGTCGACATTGGAAAGAACAAAAAAACATTTTGAATTTTAACATGGTTGAGATTAGTTAAAGAATTTTTTTAAAAATCAATTTTATCTTGGGCTTAAATTAAATACACATTTCTCAGGATTCAGGAAATTAACAAGACAAGTAAGCCTTTAAGCTAAATCTTCTCACTCAAAGAGATATAGGGGGAGGGAGGGCAGGGTTGTCAACCATCCTTAAATGTACGGACAGTCTGTAAAATGTTTTCCTAAAAATAACATGTCCTTAATTGTGTGTAGGAGCTTAAGTATGTTCTTAAGGCTTTTGAAGCAAAAAAAAAAACAAAAAACCTGGAATTTAACTTAAGAAGTAGCAATTCAACACAGATGATAATGACAGACAATAAGCTAACACTACATTTTTGAATTAGCATCGTATGACATACAGCTTTATACTTGATAGAGAAATAGCCACTGCCATGGAGGGGACTTGTAACTAGTTTTTACTACAGATCTATTTTTCTTACTTAAATTTTGTTTTTATTAATTTTTAATGCAATGATCGCATGTGTATGACCATCCGTCAAATTCTCACAATGTTTGACAGCATCAAAAAAAAAAAAAGTTTTGCACACTCCAGCCTCGTATTCTGGCAACTTCAGCTTAGCTAGTAAGCCTAAAGCTGTTTTTGGATAGAAAACCGATTTTAATAATGTGCCCCAAATTGACTGCTGTCTTCCCACTTTGGTGCCTGAGTTGTTTTTTTACTCAGGGTTAAACCTCATCTCAAAGAAAAGCTCCCTAACTTGACTAATAAATCCATTCCTCCAGGCTATTAGCTGCAGATGACTCAGTACAAAATTGAACCTTCATTGTCAAGTTAAAGAGGCAGAAAATGCTACCATTGCAACCATTTAGTGTTTATGTCTAGTCCAGCATTTTATTAGCATATGCAGCACACAAATAATACACCCACAGATTGTGTATAAGTATTAGAGTAGTTTGCATTTACCATTTGATACCTTCAGTGAAAGATGAATAAATAGAAAAATAACACATACCTAGAGTAACCCCAACTAAATTACATGATGTCTGAAAGGCTAACTCCTTGAATCAGTGGCGTAACTAGGGGGGGGGGGCGGACAGCACCTGGTGACACCATCCAAGGGGTGACACCAAATTTAAAAATGCATATATACAGAGCACACACTGCTCGTACTAACCATATTTCTTAAAAGGATAACGGATCATAAGTAAATGTTCCACACATGCAGCCAATCCAAATGCGTATTTTAATTAAAGTTCAAAGTTGGTGCGTCAAAAATAATGTAACCCTCTAATTATGTCAGAAAAACACAGTTTTGACCATGATTCAACACTGGTTGAAGTGTTCGGTAACTTTCATAAATGACAGGAAGCTATATTTATCTAAATTCTGAGAAATAAAGCTTTCCATTGATACCAAATACGATATGGTAGGGCGATTCTTAGTATATGAATCGAAACGGTAAAAATTAAAAACATTATATTAAAACACATATTTTTACCCATTTATAGGGTTAACAAAATAATATTTTACAAAATATTCTAATATCTTTTAATTAATTTTTAAAAAAAATATATATATATATGTATATATATTTATAAAAAAAAGGTTTTTGAAACCAAAAAACTGGAAACACAAAATACTCCAAAGTAAATATTTTCACCAATTCCACACTAGTACCACCCCTTAACATTTGAGCACTATTGTCATACAAAACAAGGTCTTTTACATGCTGTTTCTGATTTCACGTTTATCTGTTACCTTTACCTTTGGGCTAATCTACTCGAGGATGTTAATCTTACACATCAGTATTGGCAGACTAAAGGCTTTACTCCTGACAAAGGGATGACCAACCTAAGAGGTCTTAAGATTGTTTCTGCACCAGAAGCGCTGTCACTTGGTGGAACATGCTATTGAAAAGGAACTTTTAAAATCAGACCATAATGGATTTTCGGTAGAGAGAAAATTAAGGTTTTAGAAGATAATGGCAGGAGAATAATTAATAAACGCCAGACTCCCTCTGTGAAAGAAAACAGTGTGGAGGTGATGGGGTGTATTGATGGCTTTCATTCTGAACTCCAGATTATATCATCAGCGATCAAGGAAGTAGCAGTTATTTTGGGGCTGTTCAACCTAAGAGTCTACTATCAGCAAGTGAAGAAGAGTTATTGGTGTCCGTTCTAAAATTAACATCTTTTTCCGATGAGTTATCAGAGGATGAACTTTTAAAAGAAATAGCAAGGCTTAAAAGACACCTAAAGGCAGTTGATATTGAATATCACAAAGTCGTGGACAGGTTAGTATTTGATTTTTTACAAATTCATAGCTGAATGGGACTTTCTAGAATCTCTTCCAATACTCTCACTATGCCTTCAATTGTTTCTTATGATCTGTGTGTCTGTGGCGGAACTTTTCATAGCTAATTAATAAATTGAGCGTGGCCCTTAATATATAGGCCTATAGAAGATAATGCTTATAATGAATTATTTATGAACCACCATGGCTTTCTGATCTGGCTCTATCAATTAAAAGTAATACAGAGAAGGATATTGAGCTTGAACAAGTGATTGACAGGTTTGCAGCTTTGAAGTCCAGGAGAGGAAAATTTTAAATAAAGTAAATTTATTGTAAAAATAACTATAACTTTACATTGTTATAGTACTTAAAGACATTTACCTCCTTGAATTTAATTAACTTGTTTCTGTTCTTATCATTGTTATACTGTGGACTTTTTTTAAACAAGAAGAAATCCATCGTGGAAGTTAGGGGAGGGGGGGGTGAGACACCATGAGTTTATCGCACCGGGTGACACCAACCCTAGCTAAACCACTGCCTAGAATTACCCCTAATAAGTTACATGATGCCTGATTGGCTAACTCCTAGAATTACCCCTAATAAATTACATGATGTCTGAAAGACTAACTCCTAGAATTACTTCTAATAAATTATATGATGATGTCTGAAAGGCTAACTCCTAGAATTACTCCTACCTAATTACATAATGTCTGATAGGCTAACTCCTAGAATTACTTCTAATAAATTATATGATGTCTGAAAGGCTAACTCCTAGAATTACTTCAAATAAATTATATGATGATATGTCTGAAAGGCTAACTCACCATAAACAAAAATGATGGTTGGTCCATTGTCTGGAATCTTGACCTTGTTTCCCAGCTCCACGTGCACTTGCTCCTTAGTGATCTTGCGATAAATGGCTCCGTTCACATCTGGTTTGCTTATCTTGCTGTAGCCACCACATCCCATTATAAAACCATTAAGCACATCACCTCATTCCACCATTAGTTGGGAGTCTTATGAGTTGAACAAAGAAAATATGCAAATTAAAATAACAGTCTAATTATCACACAAATATTTTATGCTTCAGTTAGCCTACAAAGCATACAGAACATGGCACAGCCAATATATTACTACACACAAATAGTAACAGACACTATTTTGATTTTTTCTTCTAATCATTGAAATGCAAGCTGTGCCTGTGTTCAAGGTAGGAAAAGGCCTTCCTCATTCATATTAATTTAACTTAATGTTCACAATGTCATTCAGAATCCATCTATGAACATGGTGGTTTGAAACCAACATTTAAAGCAGATGTTCTAGTTTGAAATGAAACAACCCCTAAAAGCAAAGTTTTTCGTATAAATCCTTTATAAAATGTAATATCAAGCAATGGGAGGGGGGGTGGGGGGGGGCTGAAAATTTGACAAAACATGCATACAAGTAATGCATTTAATAATAATCCCAATTAGTGCCCACCCCCACCTTTCTTCAGAAAAACAAAAGAAAATAGTATGCGCCAAATACACTAGTGACAAATTTTGTTAAAGAGAAATCTCATTTAGCATAGTTATGATGTATCTTATTTCATGAAATCAGCATCATCATATTTCCTTAATTTTCCCCTTGAAAAACTGATTTTTGATGATTGCATTTGTGGGGTGGGGCTGAAAATTTGAGAGAATGTGTTGTCATCAGCAATGAGTCTATGTGCCAAGTTTAAGCTGCTAGGTTTGCACAAAGTGGCTCAATTACCCATCCAAAGATTTTGCCAGCCAGCCATGAACAAAAGCGAAGTTAATATGAAGTATTCAAAAATGGATCCTTAAACAGCACATTGGTGGCGAACCATGGTAAAGACCAAAAGTTTCAATACTTGTGCACCAACACCGACCACAATTGTGTCAGCTATCACAGGTGTGTAAATACTAAATGGGTCAATAATGCTGTGCATCTCAAACTGCAAGTATTATTCTAATGGCATGAAATTCACACAAAAACTTCAGTCTGTAATAAATAGAATTTGTAGCAGCTGTTGTTAAGCAAAAAAAAAAAAAAAAAAAAAAAAAAAAAAAAGCAACAGTTATTGTCGAAACTGCAATGCAATGGCAATAGTGAAAACAAAAAGGCTATTAAAAGTCTTTAAAAAACACTCAAGTTTTTATATGTTTGTCAGACTATTCCAAATATTTCATTGTTAATTAAATAGCAATGAACTTATTATTTAATTAGGTGTGGAACAGTACATTCAATGGAATATTAACATTCACCTAATAGTTCATCTTCAGCACCTGGTGATCGTAGCAGCATACGACTATTTTTTTATAGCAAATTAGTGAAATTAAATTGTGACATATTTACTAAGCACCTGTCAAGGACTGAAATGTGAGAATGGCGAAGCAAAAAAATTTTTGTCAATAAAGTTTCAGCCATTGCAACCAAAACACTGTATCTGCATAGAAACACAAATGTTTGTGATGATGAAATGATGAAATCAAGATACTTAAAAGAATTGAATCAGAACCCATGCAAAGGTTTCCTAGTTTGTTTGATCATGAACAGGGGATTGTTTCTGAAAGATTACATCCCAGTTTAAACTAAGCTGCTGTTCAAGAAAATTTTAGCAACTATATCATTATTATTTGAATCTAAAGACATTGACACAATCAGTGACTATATGGGCAAGTGAAATATGAAAATCACAAAGTTAGAAGAGTTAGATAGTGAATACTTAGACTTAGTAGCATTTAGTATCTGACCAATTTGGGTCATGTTTTGAAATATTTTCAATGCTAAACTAAAAAAAAACAAATAAATGTAATTCACTGACAATTAATTCTAATTCTAATCTTCTTCCATAGGTTCTTCAAATCAAATATTTCTTAAAAATAACAAAAATTAACAGTTAATAATGAAAATATGATTACAAAACAAAAGCTGTATAGTATAGGAGAGTTAAAAGAGCTGCTAATATTTGTGAATATTGCATGATTCCTACAATACTATAGTCTATACCAGGGGTCGGCAACCTGCGGCTCGCGAGCCAGATGCGGGTCTTTTGATGTCAAGATGCTGCTCTCCTGTTCCATGCGCAAATATTAATTATATTGAAATAAAAATGTTAGTGGCTCTTTAAAAACTGGGCAATTTTGTAAATTATAACTTTTGGCTCTTCCATCTCAAAAGGTTGCCGACCATTGGTCTATACTATACTATAGTATAAGTATAGTGTCTAGTACAGTCAGTGGGGGCATTCATTTAATTTTAATCCTTAGATTATTATTATACAAGTAAAAGTACAAGGAAAAACATTGTTAGGATCAGGGTATTCAAGTCTCCAATTGCTATATTGCATTAGCATTGCACTTGGCCTGGGATTGTATTAATAAATTAAATACTATTCTATTTATTAAAATTAAATACAAGTAGGCTAGAGATAATCTTTTTAACTAAGTTGATTAGGGCCTACCAAGTAACACAATTCAAAATGAATTGCGGTAGTTTTAGTGGTGAAGAGGAGAGTGGTTTGGTAGTACAATTTCGGTAAATTAGAGAGAACTGACAGAAGACAGCATTAGACTGATGCGTATTGATTTAGTATGTAGTAGATCTTGATGCAGAACATGTAATTGTAATGTCAATGTAGCCGCAAACTAATAATAGAGTAGAGCAAGTAGCAAGTAATATACGTTAAATGATAACAAATATTTACCATTTGCAGGTTGAGTTGAATTTTTTTAGAATCTAAAATATTGAATTGCACTTAAAATTAATACAACTGATCATTTTAATTACTGCACGTGATGGTAAACTGCACTATTTTAGATTTTAGAAAAAATATATATAATCAGATAATGACTGTTGTCATAGATGCCTCTAATAAAGCAAGGGTGTTAACTCTAATAATTAAATAGTAACTTCCGGTATCACGTGAAGAGAAAGCTGTGAAAATCAAAGACTTATTTTGGTAAATTGTTTTACCTAATACAATTAAGTCTTTGATTTTTAAATAACATCATTTACACAAGAAGGTAAAAGATAGCTTTATAACTATAAAATATGATTTAATTGCATACACATTTATGAACCGTGGTTATAAGACATTAATCCTTAAAAAATAACCCACTCAGCTGACTGAACTGAAGACGAAGTTTTCACCTTCTTGGACACACTCAGTATGTAGTATGTAGTCTGTAGTATACTTAAACTTAAGATTTACACATGTAAATTAATTAAAATTTGTTAAGGTTTTGTATATATATTTTTTGCCTGTTGTACTGTGTACAGTAATGTGTCATTTATGAAATTAAGGCGTATCTGAATAAATAATAGTCCCAGTCTCAATTTTAAAAAAGTAAAAAAGTCAGTTTGACTTTGAAACTAATGATTACTGACAAATGAAACTCATTGAAATTGAAAGAAAATAATTGAAAAAGTCAGTCCTGAATCCAATAATCGAACCTTGGTATTGAAAAATAGCCATGACTGAGCTTGGTCACGTGGTGTTGTTTGTGCAAGTCTTTCACACCTTGATTATTCATTCCAATGCCATGTCAGCCCCTGCTGGCTGTGTCAATGTCACTGGTGCCACTGGTGGAGTAAATAAATTGATTCATAATCATTTTGTCAATTTTTAGACATTCTTCAAAGCCCAGTCAAATGTTTTTGCATCGGAGGGTCACTTAAGTCACTACCTATTTCTTTATCTATTTTAATAATAATTTACTCTTACACCACATAAAAATAGTTGCTCTATAATGTGATGAAGTTTAATTAAAGTTTATTGCACTGTAAATAATACAGTTATACATTACAGTTCTAAAAAAATCTGCAATTAATTACAAAATGCATGTTTTGGGGACAATTAATGACATTGGCAGTTGGAACAAAGCTGATTGATCAGTAATTAGTGACTTTGCTGATTAGTGCAACCCTAATTATGTTACCAGTACCAGATGAAAAATCTAACCATGTCATGTTTCTTTAGAACCAATTGCAAACCTTTACTGCTTCAGTCTATACATTTGTTAAATTGGCTCTATAGTCTATGATCATAAGATTATAATTTGCTTAGCTTATACAATTTACTAAGTATTTTTTAATTACTAATAGTATAACTATAAATTAACACTGCATTGCCAAAATAACACCTATATAAAGGCATTTTTTTGGCATCTCAATTAATTAGGTTGATTTTAAAATCTTTTTCTATATTATATTGTTAGATCACTTGGCCCAATCAGGTCCAAGATGATATAGGGTGAATGACTTAATTTACAGAACAAAAAAATAGTTCTACTTCAAAAGCAATCATGCAGGCCCTGATCTAACATGTACCCCTTCAGCAATATCACTACTCACCAAATAGATCAAATAAATCTTTCATTCACTTAACTTTCACATATTTTTGCAGGAGCTACAGTTAAAAGAAAATGGCAGCTCTAATGAATGAATATTGGCTCATCTCAGCACCAGGAGATAAAACTCCACAAAACACATTTGAGAAACTCAATCATGCTACAAAAAATGGAAATGACAAACTTTCAGAAAACTTCAAATTCAGTATTCCTGATCTAAAGGTATAATAGAAAGATTAAAAATAAATAATTCAAAAGTTTAAAAAAATAATAAAATTTATTTTTGTTCTGTTGAAAACACAGATGAAGTTATTACAATAAAATTGTGCCTTTTAAAAAATCTGCTTCAGGTTGGCACACTTGACGTACTTGTTGGTTTGTCTGATGATCTAAATAAAATTGATACATATACAGAGAGGTAAGACTAGTTATTTTTTTGTTTCAGTAATGGATTAAATAATTTTTATTAAAATATAAGAGAGATGAATTTGATCATTTGAAACATTTAGAAATTCAAACACATAATTTGGAAGACTAAGTAATATTAATTTTTACCACGCTTTATTTGGAGAGTAAAAATGTAATAATAAAGGCAGTTTTTATATAAATAATAACTGCAATATTTTTTTAAAGTGTTTATCCTGAATATCACTGTTTTGGGCCATTGTTTTTGATTAGCTTGGCTTTGATGTGACATCAAATGATGTCTCGATGATGTTTTCTTCTATTGCCAAGTGTATAATCAACATTGCTTGATCACTGAATACAAGTCTGGATAACCAATGTCAGGAATACATTCATGAGAATATATTTTTGTATCCATAGTCACAACGAATTCAGTCATACTTTTATTTCTCTGATTTTGGCAGCATTGTTCGAAAGACTGCATCTACGCTTGAAGATGTTCTTGAAACTTCATCTAAGGGAAATTTATCAGAAAACTTGCGTATCGGAGGAGACAGTGAGATATATACTTACCTTAGTTGTTTTTTTTCTTCAGTTAAACCAGGGAGTTAAAAAATTTGTTTTAAATTAAAATTTAATTTTCAAGAAAAATTAAATCTAGCAGATGTTAAAAAAATGTATGCTTGTCGATTTTCTAAATAGAGTGAAGACATTTTAGATAGAAAGTTAACAGAACACACCAAAAAAGGTAATCTGATATTCTTCACAATTTTCAGGATAAGCAAGTTATTGACCCATTTTTGGTTATGTCTGTGTTGTAAATTATTTGCTCAAATGTCACATCAATTTTTCCCACTAAAAAATTGTTAAATTCCACATTTTCTTTGTCTTTACCTAGTTCCACCACAAGTATATGCTCAAAAATTCACCTGGGACCTGGCCAAGTACCCCGTGAAACAGCCACTCCGTGCTATTGCAGATGTTATCTCCAAGGTCAGTGTGCGATAATATTAAAATATGTTTTAACCCTTGGCTTTTTTAACAAGAATCTTTTAGAATAAATCTTTTACTAGATAGAATATATGTGTGATTTATTTTCTCGCAGGATGTCACACATATTGAGGAGGAATTGAAAACTCGTTACAACAAATACAATAACCTGAAGGGAAACCTTCAGCAGTTGGAGCGCAAATCCACGTAACTATGTCTAGTTTAAATTTTAAAAAAAATTTGAATTAATTTGTCATAAATAAAAATAATGTTTTAATATAATTAGATAATCTTAAATAGCTTTTGTTTTTAAATTGGTCTTGCACGATTCATTAAACAAGCCTGTTTAAAAAGAAACTATTCTGCTTGATTTAAAAATATTTAATGTATCCAGACCTGTTTACCCTCAAACTCTTAAAATCGTACAATATCATCACAAAATCTTTCAATACCTTATATTTATAGTAAAAAATAATCATACAGTATATATATTGTTTACACCTCAAAATTGTACATTGTAAGCCAAAATCGTAAGAGTAAACAGGTCTGTGTATCAATTATATTTAGAATTAAGCTAAGAGTAGCCATTTATGTCAGAGAGTACTGAACCCACTGTCATATGTGTAAAAAAAAATACCCAACAGTACAATAACTGTTTTGTAATGATATAAATGTTTATTCTCACGAACAAAATGTATGATTAAATCAGTCTAAAATTTGACCAAAGTACAATGTATTTTTTCCATTTAAAACTTTTAGTGGCAGTTTGTTAACTCGTAATGTTGCTGACCTTGTGAAGAAAGAGGATTTTGTTCTAGACTCTGAATATCTCATCACTCTCGCTGTTATTGTACCCAAGTAGGTTTCTTTTCATTTGGAACTGTTGACCCTTTCTTGGTCCAAATAAATTTATATATTTAGGCATTTTTATATAGCCCTTACCTTAAAGCTCTAAGCGCTTTACAATTATTAAAAACATGTAAACTGAGTAAAATAAAAATGAGACACTAGGAAAGTAACTACTATACTATAGAAACAATTAAAATGGCTATAAAACGAGGACACTTTGGCACGTTTTGGCCTATACTACAGGATCAACCCGAGAAAGAAAATAGCCAGGGCAAGGAGGGTGCATCACAGGTCATATGCGGACCTAAACAGATGGGTTTTAAGGGACTTTTTGAAAGTGGACGAGGTTTCACAATGACGGATATGGAAATGTCCATCACAATTTTTAGTCTCCTTTCTTGATAAGCCTATGTTGCTTTACCTGTAATCAAAGAAAATGCTGCGCCTCTTTTTGCCCCATATAACATATTCAGGTGTAATAGTATTGTTCAAAACTATATGATTTTCCACCTATCAGAGTATTGGCTGAAGATTGGCAGAAGAAATATGAAACCATCACTGACAAAGTTGTTCCTAGATCATCAAGGTAAAAAGTGGCACCTCTTAGCATTAACAGATTGCTTCACTGATAATTAAGTAAGATAAGTTGATTGTCAAATATCAAGAATATAAAAATAGCTTTTTAAAATTAGAATATTTTTAATGACTGCGAGGAGGTTACTAAAAATGGTATTTTTTTCAAAATTGGAATTCCATAATGCATTAGGTTAGCTTAAAATATTGTGGAAAACCAAAAGCAAAACAGTCTCTTCTTTTTCAATAGTTTTTCTAAAATTTTAGTTTGTTGTCAGGATATATCACGCTTCCAAAAAAGGTCATTTTTAAAAGACTAAAAAATGTGTCCCAACTTTACAGCATTATACAAAGGCAACAAACTTCATTATTCAAAACTTTGTTTTGATCAGCTTCTGTCTGGATTGCAAATTTATTTTATTTTTTTAATAAAATATTTATCTCTGTACTTAGCAACAAATAAGCTTAATCTTACGTAGATAAAATTGGTGTTTGCATCTTTAAATTCTTCTGTCACCTCACAGGGTGGTGTATGAGGACAATGAGCATCAGCTTTGCACAGTCACACTATTCAGATTGATTCAAGATGATTTCAAAAACAAATGTCGTGAGCATAAGTAAGAAATTTGTTCAGCATGAGAAATAAATTTTTGCATTCTTTTGTGTAAAATTAGCTCAGGGTGCTATTTGGGAAAGGAGGCCAATTCGGAATACATCAGTCTATATGAAGTGGATTTTAAAATCATGGCTACACTATCCCTACACACATAGAAATGTCATTTGAGTCTTCTTTGCCTAATAGCATAGAGCAGGTTCAGTAATGTGTTCCCTTTACATTGACATCACAGACTTTTATTCTAACAAAGGTTATGAATCCACTATTTTAAAGTCACTATCTCCACTACCATACTCATCATCTACAAGTTCATCAGGGAAATTTAGGTGGGAGCCATGCCAATAAGTCTACTTTTTATGAATTTTAAATATATTTATTCAAAATGAAATATCTGCCTATAAAATTTAAGAAAAAAAATAATTTGATAGTATCATCTCTCTAGGTTGATTTCTTCTTGAAATGTTGTCTTGAAAAGTTTTATTTTGGAATCAAGATACTTTACATCGTTGAATAAATGGATTTTGATGAGGGTTTATTGATAATTCCTTAATTATTGAATAATATTTAAAAGTTAATTGCAATAATTTTTACAAATTTTCCTTAGGTTTATGGTTCGAGATTTTGTTTACAATGAAGAAGAGATTCAAGCTGGTAAAACTGAGCTTGACAAACTCAATGCTGACAAAAAGAAGAAATTTGTAAGTCCTGAATTGAGTGGGCTGTTGTTTGATTGTTCTTTTCAACTTTTAGTCTGTGTTTGGACTTAGTTTTATTGATGATGAAAATCAATAGTATCAAAAGAAAACAATCAATAATTTTAAAACATGTTGTCCTGATTATTTTGATTTCATTAACGTTTAAAAATCTGGACATTGAAAGAGCATCAAAATAAAAGACATGTAACACATAATTTATATTTAGACTTAATTCTCTCATGGAGGGTGGCTGCAACATTTTCCTGCTTCCCTATTGTATACTTATAGTTATACATCTAATTCTTTATAAATTATACGATTTTATTTATAAACTAAATTCCATACTCCTAACAATATTCCACAAGAATTAAAAGTTTAGTATTAACTCAGTTAATTCGGTTAAAATAAGGATTCCACCGCAAATGAAGCAAAATAATAACTGAATATTGCATAACATAAAACTAGGTATACAAGCACCAATTCTGAGACCAAATACATCATACATAGTTAATTGACATGGTTAAACTTACCCCAATACCACTGCAGATTGAGGCAAATATCCTGAATAATAATTTTGAAATGACTCTTAAACTACCAACACCCGAATTGTTTAACCTACACGATGACCATAACCATGTTCACCACCCTTTTTAACTAATGTATCAAGACAAATTGACAGTTTAACTCTTACTTGTCTGTAATTCTGGCCACAAATAACAGCATTGTTGAAAATTGTGGGAATCGCCAGTGTTATAAAAAAATGCAAATAAAAAGTTCAAAATCTCACTTGAGCAAATTAAAATGGGCAAGTTTTTTCAGGTTCTTGTTACATCCATAAATGATGTCTCTCTACTTTGACTCTGCACCCCCCTCCCCCCCCCCCATTTTCACAAATTAAACACTTAAATTACACAGTGTCACAAATTTGTGGATGTTTGACACTGTTTATAGATGGCCTGCTGCGCAAAATTAAAACAAATACTTTTAATGTATATTACAAGAAATATTAGAAAAGTTAGAACCAACTTAAATCTTTTACTTCCTTAAGCAAACCAGTTATACTTTAGTAATAGTGTTATATTATTTTAATAAATGAAAATTGAAAATTATTGTAAAAATAAAATTGAAACATCAACTAGCAAAATCTCATGGATAATCTGGTTCAATAAAATGAGTTGAAAGAAACAGTACTGCAACAAACTTCAAACAATGATGAATTTAAAAAAAAACACTTTACCTTTATGATTTATCTTCAGGGTCCATTGGTGAAGTGGCTGAAAATCAACTTTGGTGAAGCATTTGTTGCCTGGATGCATATTAAAGCTCTCCGTGTTTTTGTGGAGTCAGTGCTTAGGTTACTATAATTTTCTTCTGTGAAATTTGTATAGCTGCTTGTCGATGGAGACAGGAAAGAAATGTTTATAAAAAATTTTCAAGAAAATTCTACTTTATTTTTATAATATAATTTATATTTTATTTAATCTCTATCTTGTTTTTTCCATCTTTAGATATGGCCTTCCTGTAAACTTTCAGGCCATGTTGGTTCGTCCCATTAAGAAAAACCACAAACGTCTTAGGGAGGTCTTGAACCAACTGTATGGACATTTGGACTCAACAGCTTTGTCTGGTGATAAGGTGATTATTTTTTTCTTTTTACATGATAAATTATTTTATGTTATAAAACAAAAATATGATCATATGAATAAATTGCAAGGTTGGTTACAATAGTTTTTTCAAGGTCTTAACGAGTTCAAAACTTAACTTTTTTTTTCTCGACATGCCAAACTAATTGGGTTAACTTTTTGTTTAGGGTAGCATATTTACGTCTAAGAAACTATTTGAATCCCCTTGCTTCTAGTGGTGGCCCTGACTAACCCACAACAGCAGTTAAATAGTTGTAAAAAATGTCTGAGATCTTTTAATGGTTCCAGCAGCACCATACCCATCTTTATTCTATTGTAATTTTACTTTTTAAGTGAACTAATTGTTTATATTTTCTAAATTTATGTATTAGGTAATTTCCATATATATTACATACACATTTGTTTGGGGGTGGGGGTGGTATAAAGAGTATGAGATTATGGGCAATGGAGGAGGGACGTCAGCAAATGAATGACAGCACGTTGCTGTCATAAAAAAATAAAAAAACATGTTTGTAGCATCTGGCCAATCTGCCAGACGACTCATCGTTTACTTTGCTACAAGCCTTATTGTAAGTTCCAGTAGTTGGGTGGGGTGTAAGTTTTTGTTGTTTAGGCCAAGGCAGTAAATTATTATTATAGAAAAGATTTTCAGATGATGACCAAAAAATCATTATTTACTAAAGTTACATTTTTTTTTCAAATTTTCCTTTCATCTGAAGTTTTATTTATTTCTGAATTTTTATAATAAATGCCCTGCAGTCATATACAACACAATGTACTCCCCATGAGTAATTCAATAGTCATTATCACTATCCCTCAGATGAGTGCAATGGAGATACCAGGCCTGAATTTGACGTCCTCAGACTACTATCCATATGTGTTTTACAAGATAACCTTAGACATGCTGGAGCCACAGAGAATATAAACCCAGCTCATTTTAGGTCATATTTTTTCTCTTTTCCTTGTCCATTTGCATGATGCCATCATTAAAAAATGTCACAACTGCAAAGATCTTTGAACTTATCCCAACAACATTTGAAACAGGAGATTTTTTTTTTTTATGTCATAGAAATCTTTTTAAAAAATGTTTTGGTGGAAAATTTTGTATCCAAAGAAATGATAACCCAATGGCTGTGTTTAAAAAAATAATAATTATGAAACAAATCACAATGTGGTTCAAATATGATTGATTTTAAATGTATGTTATTGTATGAGCAAACCATGGACAGCAAAGGATGTTATTTTTAATAAATTCTTGTAGGTCAGTTAGCCATTAATGTGATTGCAAAACTCCAGATTTGATGTTGGTAGGTTATAAAACATGACTTAGATTTAGATTAATATTTGGGAAAGCTATGCTTAATTTGAAATTTGATTTTTATTTTTACCTTCAAATAAAAGTTAAGGTGCAAACAATACACATGTTACTTTTAACACTCAATGAAAGGTACCTATCCTGGTTACGATTCTAAATCTCTAAGAAGTTTTCTGGCCTTCCGTAAAGTGTTAAATGTTAGAATTCAGCGTACATTAGAAATTTGGGGAATTAATTCTATCATAGCTTCTGTAAGTTGCTTGAAAATGTTAATTCATTTTTTTTTACTCTAAGAAGTTTTCTGGCCTTCCGTAAAGTGTTAAATGTTAGAATTCAGCGTACATTAGAAATTTGGGGAATTAATTCTATCATAGCTTCTGTAAGTTGCTTGAAAATGTTAATTCATTTTTTTTTTATCTTCCATCTATTTAAAATCTGATGAGAACTGTACAATGTCAGTCAAAGGTATGCCTGCTTGTGATCAGTTGAGTAGCTGCTGTTCATTAGGTTTATAAGAGGATAGATTAATTTATTTAAGTTCATCAATTATTCAAATGCAAGTAGTGTTGTGACATTCTTTATAATATTCCAAAAGAAAAGAAACAAAAATGAACATTCCATTGTAATAATCTTTAAAAAAAAAACACCTTATTTCTTCATTTGAAAAAAAATGAATTTAGACTTAAAAGTTTTCCTAAGTATAGTTATACAAGAAAAATTAACATGTGTTCCACTTGCCTTTTTTTCTCTCTCTCTCTCTCTTTTTTTTAAAAAATATTAAAATGCAAATTGAGGTACTGTTAAAATGTTTATATGGGTCATTTTTTTGTAAGTAGAATTCTTCACCATTGTTGTGAACAGTTTTGAGTGAGGAGTGAGTGTATAGAGAAATGTGTTTCGAAAGATCACCCATTGAGTTGTCGTTGATGTAAAACACACCATCTTGTCGCATTACTATCAACAATTTTACTTTTAAACTATTTGTAATCCGGAATAACCTGTAGATTAAGTATTTTGTACCTCGTCATATCATGTGTAGGGAAACCTTGAAGGTTTCCTTGTGATAATCAGATAGATTAGTCATCGGCTCATCCTTTCATGTGATATAATGGATGTATTTTTTGTATTATTTGGAATTAAGTGTAACAAATAAACTCAAACAAACCCATCACTATTTCAGGTTTGTAGAGTTGGATGTGAGTTTCATCATATTATGTCTTTCTACATCTTAGGCATCTGCCAATATAATTTGTTATTTCCTTTACTCAAAGGCTTTATTATGGGTAAATGTGTTAAATATTTGTACTAGATCAGGCTGGGATGCCTTGCTGTTCAATTTGGGGCAGTCATTTTCCCAAGTAATTATTGCTACAGAGAGAAAATAGGAGCTATTTATTTTAGGGTGTTTTTAATTATTTTTTTGTGTGCATAATTCTAAAATTATAATTTTGAACATGATTTTTTAAATTGGGGACAATAGCACCAAATATGATAGAAACAAAATATGCTCTTTGAATGAATGTATGTGAAGTAAATTATATGGTATGTTTTGATTCAGTTGTAAATATTCACTTACTGGCATAAGTGTGGGAAAAATAAACATTGAATAGAAATTTAGATAGAGACATCAATTTTTTCACCACCAGCCAAGCGTTTTTTTTAGTCATCAATATTACTATACATTCTTACCGCCCCTGTGTCATTGACTAAAAAAGCAGGCCCTTTAGAGATTAGCATTAATTTATTTTGTTTAAGAGGAAGTTTTTTTTTTTTTTTTTATTATATTACTATACATTCTTACCGCCCCTGTGTCATTGACTAAAAAAGCAGGCCCTTTAGAGATTAGCATTAATTTATTTTGTTTAAGAGGAAGTTTTTTTTTTTTTTTTTAATTACCTCAGACAGCTATAACTTTCGAACCCCCACCAGATGTTTTTTAAAATACAAGTCTACCGGTACTCAACAGTAGAATGTTAAAAACAATTTTTTAACAAGAACCATAATCAAGAATTTATTTGTTCCTTTCAGGAACTCTATGATTAACAAGTTTTCGTCTTTACAAACAAAATATGTAATTATATGATTGTAATGACATTTTTAACATTTTAAATCTTGATTTATTGGTACCTGCTATGAAGGGTAAATTTATCTAAATTTTTTGGTTAGGTTCAAGAAAAATTTGGGGATAATGTTTTCTGGATGTTAGTAAAATTATAAACATCATAGAGTTTATACTATAGATCTGACAACAGTTTGTGTTTCAGATTGTTAGAAATGTAAATTAAATTTTGTTCATATTATTTGGAACTCATTTATTTACAGTCCTTCAATTATTATTTTTCATTTACAGATCTAGCAGTAACAGTTTTAGGTATGAGAACTCCTTCCTTCATAATTGAATACAAAAACCCCTGTAACTAAATGTATAGACTGAATGTACCTAACACATTGTTCATATGTAGCTAAATAAAAAGTCAAGAATAAATAGATATATATATATATTGTGGTCTCCTTGAGTATTAATATTGTGTTTTTGTTCCGAGTGTTTATGTCAAAGTGAAAGCTATTTATAAAAAGTCTGTAGTCATAAAGTTAGAACAAACTAAGGTTGTGTTTTTTTTAAAAATCCATTTGAAAGAATACATTGGCCTAAGATAATTATTCCCATGTTACATTTTTTTTCACACTTACTCAATATAATAATGTAAAAAATAATAATTATGAAACAAAAAGATACAAATACATTTCAAAAGCGTTATAACTGTTTTCAAATTGTACTTCTTTTTATTAAAAGGATCAAACACAAACACATTCATGCTTCCAAATAGAAAAATGTATCATTTCAACTCAGACATTATATCTATATGTACATGGGTACATTCTCATATATTATTAAGTCCATAATAGATTACTTTAGTTGTGGCAAATGATATAATTTGCTTAGTTCAGCAGATTTTTTTATACCCTCACGAAAGTGTTCCACTATGAGGTATGGTGGGGATTTAGGTGATTTACTGTCAATCGATACTGTAACAATACAAAAAATTATATTAATTCTCATACAGTTAAGAGCTAGAGCACCGTTCCAAAAATTGCAAGTTCCTTTAGATAATATTAATAATTAACGGCAATATACAAGCAGATGGTTATTGTTAAACTCTAAAGGCATTAACGTTCATGAAACAATATTCTGATTAAGTTGAACATAGAGACTCTTAATTAATATGAAGTATTGATAAATAAAGTTTAGTTTCGCAAAGCTTCAAATTGCAAATTTCTAAATGCAGTACCCTATAATAGATGGATACTTATTGTCTTTTTAAATTTTTTAAAAGCCAAAAAGACTGACTCAGCTTAAATTAACCTCATTGATAACTATGTTAGATACAACACTCTTGATCTACACCAGTGGTTCTCAACCTTTCTAGTGCCGCGACCCCTTAATACTGTTTCTCGTGTCGTGGCGACCCCCAAGCCACACAATTATTTTCGTTGCTACTTCATAACTGTAATGATATATGTTTTCAGATGGTCTTAGACGACCCCTGGAAAAGGGTCCCGCGACCCCCAAAGGGGTCGCGACCCACAGGTTGAGAGCCGCTGATCTACCACTCACATTTGCTGAATAATAATTATCATCAACAATTGTTATCACAATATTACTGTTAGTCCAGGCCTTCCAGCTCTTCATCCATTTGCCTACTGTCCTCATCACAATCATCAATTATGCTTGGTGCTGTGTAATTAATCACTCCCTCTTTGCTTATCTTGCAGTCAGCTATTGTGCCAAGACCGTTTAAAAGACTCTCTGAAACTGGATCTGATGGTCTCCTGGTTTGCTCATCATCATCACTTCTGACTAAATGTGCATTCTGGTTTGATTTCTCTTCTGTGCAGCTCAGATATTCATCTCCCGTTTGTCTCAATCCTGTATTTGAAATGTTAGATGAGTCTTTTTGGTCAACATGTGAAAGGTCTTCTCCCTGATCTTCCTGACCACTGTCTCCTCCATTCACAAGCTCTGTTATTAATATTTTTGATTTGGTTATTTTATCCCCACCAGGGCTGGACACCGTCAAGGGTTCTTCAACTTCTTGGGTAATTTCTGTAATCAGTATTTTAGAAATGCCTTCTTCACAGGTTGGTTTAGATTCCTCATTATCCTCCAGTACACATGCAGATATGTCAGTGAAGCTGCTGCCTGACATCTCCTCATCTGAAACACTAACTGTTATGTCCTCGATCAGGATTTTTTTCTGCTTTGATGATGAGTGGAGAGGTGAGCTGAAAAACTGTTTGGCTGATGGTTCTTCAAGTGCATTAATATCTTCTGGTAGGTCCTGTTTTTCCTCTTCTTCATCATCTACTATTTCAATCAATGGTCTGTAAGGCTGCCGATTTAATGAGATTTGGTTCTGGTTAATTTAGTGCTAATTTTGACTCGGTGCAACACTACAATTTGTGTAGTGAAATAATACATTTTCTATTTAAAACTTGCCAATCAGATACATAAAATTTCCAGCAGGTATTATGTTCATAATTAATGAAACATTCTTAGAATTGATGCACAGGAAGTGTGTTTAATGTTTATAAATAAGTTTTTTTTACTAGGCTTGATTATCAAAATTGACTCGTTCATGAATATATAATTAATTGCATGCATTATTTTGTAAAATATTCAAATATTGATTCAGGACTATATTTCAGGGGTATATTACATTTCATATTTTTTAATGAAATTGCATTAATTTTTTAACAGTTTTCCCTTCATCCCTGTCATTTTTATTGTGGTAAACAACTAGTGCACTCATTCCATACACTTAGTAGCCTCATTATTTATATTTAGTTAGTACCCTCATTCTTTATATTTAGTTTGTGCCCTCATTCTTTATATTTAGTCTAGTTTCCTCATTTAAAAAAAAATATTTTAATTAGTCTAGTGCCCTCATTTCTTTATATTTAGGAAAAATATATACTAAGGACATTATTTTTATTTTAAAATGAAATATAAGTAAGAATTATTTTTTTTTAAAACTTTCAATTGTCCAGAACACTTTTCATTTAGATATTAATCAGTAATAAGAAAGTACATTTTAATTTTAAGAAATTAACATTTAAATTTTAACAAATATTTCAAAAAGCTGATTTTTAAAGAAATCAATCAGAATAATCTCACCTTTTCTGTTTCACTTTGACGAGAAAGTGTTTCTTGATTATTGTTGACCTTATCAACATCCTCCACATCTTCTAGGTCAGGCAAATCCTAGGAGTGAAGCATTTGCAATGAAAGCCATTTGGGAAAGAAAACCTTACACTTACTTACAACAGCATTAGATTAATGTTTAAATATCACTAAGAATACTAAGATAAATTCTCAAGTGAGAATCACATACCTCAAACTCATCCCTTTCAGCATTTTCATCTGTCGAAAAATATTTTCAATGAACTCATTTGTACAATATTTATACACTGGAAAAATTAATGCTCATTTCTTATTAGTTTAAGAGAATTTTGAACAAAGGCCTGTTAATAACAAAATAAATTCACATGCAATTTAAAAAAAGAAAATTAAGCAGAATGAGTAAATATTCAGTTATACTTTGGAATTTTATTTATTCAAAATAATAATGTATAATTTTTTCCCATAATTATATTATAGTAACTACAAAAACATTCTAAAACTGTGTTTCCCAACATGGGATGGGGCATAGGTCCCATCTGAAGATTGGGGTGGGGGGGGGGTTGCAACCACACTGAGAATCGTATATAATTTATAAATGTATAACGAAAATTTGTTTGTCATTTATTGCAATTTAAATGAGTTTTACTTATTGTAGGTTTTATTTTTCAATGTTAAATTTCAAGTTTTAAACAGGGGCAACATTTAAATTAAATAATTCTGATGACGGCAGGGAGATCCCCTTTTCCTCATTGTAGATTTTCTGCTATGGAGTGTGGGGGGGCATTAAATTTTTTCTAGGTGCTCAGGGGCAGCACAGTGCAAAAAAAGGTTTGGACACACTGGTCTAAACCATTTCAATGTCTAATTTATTAAAAATGTTTTTGTTTTTTATAAACAAAAACATATGATAATTCAAGGACAAAGAATCATATATAAACTCTTTAAGCTCCTTTAACTGGTTTACTTAACTTATTAGCTACCAGATTGAAAAACCAGCTGTGGCCAAATTAAATCTAGGTCACGTTGACTACCATACAAGCGTTGGCATTTCCAGCATCTCGTTGCCATAACAAAAGAAACGCCCCGCCGCTCCCAGCTATGGTAGTAAACCAGTTAAAAAGTATTTACAAGCTAGAACCAACTTGCCTTCTTCTAAGGCAGTTATAACAAGACGGCTGGACTCTCTCTGTGAGAATATTCCACTATCCTCTTCGTCCTCCCCCTTATCTTTACTTTGTGGGGTGATTACTTCAAGTTCCTCCATAGTTGCATCTGACAAATTTCCCAAACTTGTTGTCTTTGGGGAACTCTTGCTCATTTCTGAATATATTATTGAAACTAAGATAAATTGAACCATAAAAATATTTTAAATGATTAACATCCTCATTGGATTTTCTAGCCTTATTTCAAATTTTTAATGGCAATTAATTTTTCTTATGAAAGGAAGTGACATTTAATAAATATTACTTGATTACTAACGGGTGTCATGTATAAATGGGCGTAAATATATAAGTTAATGTCATTTTCCTTTTCTCTGGACTAAGTTATGAGTTTAGATAACTCTATATACATAAACATTTATTTTAAATAATTTCAAGCTAACATAGGCTCCAAGCTTTGTAATCGCCACAGAATTGTGTGATACTTATTACATGCAGTTTTTAACAAACAACCATTAATTGTGATAAAATTTTCAAAAAATAAAAATTTATACTTGCTTTAGTTGTGCTTTATCCTCAGAAAAAAATGTATAATTTCTTATATTCTGGACAACATCTATTAAAACATTATAAGTTTTGAATATGGTACTTAAGAGTTTCATTGGGTCTGTTAACCATTTCTTCTTTTAATCTTAGGAGTTATTTACCTTTTTGTTCTAACTTTCCACCCTGTTGAACTTCCAAATCTTTGCTTTCAGGGATCTCCTCCTCACTAGCCCTCTTATAGATGGTGTCATCCCCTTTGACCTTGTAAGTACCATACAGCCAATCAATTGAATCAACATCAACCTCCACCTTTTCGGTGATTCCTTCACTTTCATTTTTTTTGTTTAGTTCATTTTCAATTTTCTTAGCCAGTGTATTCTTCCTCATTTGTAGGAGAGCTAAAATATCATGATCACATTGAAAAGCAATGATGTGAATTAAATGTGGTAAACAAAATATTGTAAGAAAATAATTATGATGTAAAAAATTCTAATCAAATAGAAAAACGAGAGATGCCTTGTATGGCAATGTCAGTTTGTTTATGGGCTGTCATTTTTGTGACAGTATGAGCTATATCAGTGTACCCGCCCCTCTTTTGATTTAAATAAGTTATATTAAACCCCAAAATAAAACAATAATACTATTTATTTATTAATAAAATTAAAGGATTTATATATATAAACACAGCTAGGTTAAGGGACATAAAATTTTCACAAGCTTTCATTTAGTTGTTCTCTGGTTAAGTGTAAAATGATGCGAAACTAAATATAAGTATTCGCCAAAATCCATCCCTTCATTTTGACGCTCAGCCTCACTCTCCAACCCCTCCCCACTTTCCCTGGGGAGACTTCAGTTGGCTACCTTGATTTCTGCTCCCCACCCCAAATTCCTCTGTCAAACTGGTAACTGGGGACTGTACAAATATATTAAAATTTATATTCCAATTTAAATCTCTACAATTTATTTATATGTGAGGCAGCACAAGTAGATACATTAGCAGCTAAGAATTATAGACATTAAGAATAAATAAATTAATGTGTCATCATTTATTCTGTATTTATTTTCTTTATTGCATTGCAAAGAGTTGTTGACTTGTGAACAAAGTGGCCCATGAATGCCATTTGAGTTGGCCACCCCTGCTCTACATTAAATAAAAAATGAGCTTTTTTTTAAAAATAAAATTGAAAAAGCATACCATCAACACTATCCAACATCTTTTCTCTTTCCTTTGTAGCCCATCTCTCTCTTTCAGCTTTCTCAGCTTCAAGGCCACCAACAGCCCTGAATGAAAAAAAATAATTAATTGGAAATTAAAAAGTTGAACGATTCATGACTACGGCTAATACATCATTGTAGCAGCTTAAAAAGATGACATTATACTTTTCCTTTTTTATAAGTGGGGGATTAAATAATATTTTTTTTTAAATATCAAAATGTAAAAATACTTTTATTTCAAATTTGAAAGTGAGGATTAAGTGTTTCTAGTCTACATTATTTTAACAATATTTCTATAAAAACTATTACATATTTTTAAAAAAGTAATCAGCTGAAATGTATTTAACATTGAGAGCTCAAGGCATTACAACCATTTTATCTATTACAAAATTCCTTTAAAGGTGTATCCTGAAACATATATCACATTGAGAGCTCAAGGCATTACAACCATTTCATCTATTACAAAATTCCTTTGAAGGTGTATGTATGAATTAATTATGCAACTTTTCCATTCCTTATTTGTTGCTCTTTGGGTCTGCATCTTACCAAGCCTCAGCACATGCCCTATCCTTTGGAAAGACTGGTCTGTCATCCAAATATTGAAGGTTTTTCTGTAGGGGAGTTGGTATTATTTAATTATTTATAGTATTATCTAAACAAGAAATAAAACCAATGCCTCATCCTATTGTCATTTAAAACTTAGTAGAAATTTTTGCTCTCTGACTAATGATTCTGAAAACCATCATTGATATTGATTTGCATAGTTTAAGTATGCAATCAAATGGGGTTAACTATACACTACATCTTCAAGGATTAAGATTTTTGCAAAGACAAATCAAGTAAGATAGCTCTGATTTCTCTACTATTACAATGAATTAAAGATGCTTACTTCAAAATATAATTTATTTTGATGAAAGTATTTTCCTTATTTAGAGATATTTGTTTAGATTATTTAATAAGAGTCTAAACATTTCAAAGGTCTAAAATAGAGAAAATTAAAATGAAAAATCGAACTTTACAACAACGCATTTTTCTCCCTCCTTTATTAGATAAAATAAACCTATGCATTAAATTATGCTAATAATGTAAAAATCATACCAGTTTTACAGTGAGGGTTTTGCGATAGTATTTGATTTCCTGAATAACTGGGTTGCCACTTAAATTGAGAACTCGCTGGATGTAGGGAAAAAAAAATAAAAATTAGTAACACAATTTTAAATAATTTACAAAGCCATGTCTCAAAAATTAATCTACAAGCCTATTAAAATGTCTTGAAAAGCTTGATAAAATTCTAGTTAAACTATATGGCATCTTGATAAACTTGGCAGCAATGATTGATCATTTCTAAAATAAAAACTGTTTATAAGTGAATAAAAGAAAAGCATACCAAATTATGCATATTCACAAGAACATCAATAGCATTTGGGTCATCAATTCTGTTGTGTGAAACATCAAGAATGGATAGATTTGGACAATGTACCAGTTCAGAAAGGTCTTCTGCACTCTTAAGTTTATTGTGGGAGATGTTCAGTGTGTTTAAAACTGGTAAGCATGCTAGGGAAATTGATGAATGACATTAACATGTAATTTAAAAAATTTAAATAAAAAATATTAACTTTTAAAAAGAGAAATTGAAATAAGTTAAAATATAAACTTAGAAAAACAATGTAAATAGCATTCTGGTGAAATCAAAATTAGTTAAAATATTATCTTTTTTAAAAATATAATGTAAGAATGGCATGATGTCCATTTCAATCAAGTTTTCATTTCTATCATTTATTTAGTGCATTCAAATATAAATTGAGATTAACATTGTAATTATTCATGGTCTTGATTTTTGGAAAATTGATACTTGGAAAATTGTATAAATTAAATTATTCTTTTCATTGTATATTTCAACTCTGCCTTGTGCCTTTTTTTTCTGAATAGATAACAAAGTTTTTCTCACCAATGTTCTCAATTTTCTGAATTATATTATGAGAGACATTCAGATTGTCCAGCTTCTGCAAAGCCTCCAAATTCTCAAGCCTGCTAATCAGATTCTGTTGAAGGAATAGACATCGCAGCTCTGTCAACTTCTCTAGGTTCTCAATTTTACTGATACCATTACATTCTAGCCACAGGCATTTTAGACCAGTATATGCATCCAGATTTTCAATTTGATATATTCCTACAATCAAACATTATATTATCTTTAGGAGAATAAAAATAAAAGTAGCATGACTTATTTATAAAAATAAAAGATAGGCAGATGTTATGAGTGCAGAATGTTACATTAAAAAATAAATCTTTATTCATTTATTAAAACTTGCAGGGAGGCCCATGCTAATGCACACCTCTCCAACATACACACATGAAAATATGTTAGTTTAATAATAACTCTATATGCTAGGCATCATTCTAAAACATTTGGTTCCAATAATAGCAATAGGTAGGCTTTTGAAAAAAAAATATTTTTCTTGACATATATTAAGCATTTTACAAAGAAAATAATTTGCAAGGTTATACATTGTTTTTGTATTTTACCTTTGTAATGTAGGTAAAGCACATCATTGAGCTCAGGAGTCTGGTAAAGTTTTAGGTCCTTACAGTGCTGTTTCAAAAATTTCTCAGTTAGAACACTGAAATAAAAAGAATACTTTATTTCAACCACTTTGACACAAGATTAATTAAAAGAAAGTATGAATTAAAATTCAGCATTTAATATTCATTTACCATTGTACAGCAATATTTCATTTACTGATTAGCGATATGCCATTTTAAACTTCATTAAATAAAAGTATTAGAAAGTTTAAATTTTAAGAAATACAGAATGAAGAAAACTCAGAGGCTATTTTAAATTTCGTTAAATAGTTCAATATGATAAGGAAAAATAGCACAGCAAAATTACCTGGGGTATTTGTGAGCAGTGGTTTCTTTTTCTTTATTTGCTTCTTCATTTTTCTTCCCATTGTCAAGATTGGTTGATATTAAAATAGTTTCTGTAAAACAATTTAAGAAGCTACAATTTTGAGACTTATACAGAGCATTAGAGCTGTAGATATAAATCAAGCACAATAAAGCAATTAATAAAAACTTATATTTATATTGCAGAATGAGTTCCATAATTATTATATTTTTTTGTTATTTGGAAATTTTAAAATATTCTCCATACTCCATATCAATTTTTATCATCATAAAATCTTATTATGTCTCTAATTAACATTACCTGATAGTAGTCAGGTAATTGAATATTGAATGTGTAGAATAAGATGCAGAATTTAAAAAATAACATTATAAAAAATCGGCTTACATATTTTGAAATTTAAATATTTGTTTAAATATTTAATTTCCCTGAATTTAAATTGTCACCTGAATTGATTTGGATTTCATTGTCTGTTATCTCCGAAAATTGTTCAGTTTTATTTATTGGAAGTTCTGTAATCAGAGGCGGTGACTGAATATTCAAACTATTTGGAAGATTAGCTGTTTTATTTTCAATTATTAGCTTGTTGCTGGAATTATTTACTTCAGGATAAGTATCTGGAAGAACCTCAATTGAAGGCATCTTTTGATGGTGGGATTTTTTCAAAGAGGCTTTCTGAAAATATTGCAATTAGAACACATTACAATTTTTTTAAACTGCCTGCAACTGGTAAATACAAGTTAATAACTAAATAATTATACTTTTATGTTTTCATTCAATTTTCAACTGAATGGGGATTGTGATAATCTAAATGATAAAAAAAAATATTAAAAAATAAAATAAAATGTACATCCGGTACCAAGTATTACAATTTATGGCACTCCTCAAAACGGCGGTCCTAAATTAAAAATAGAATACTTTCGTTAGAAAGTGTCTGGCTGCCAGCCTAATAGCTGTCGATAATTTGTCACACAGTTTTTTACTTCAAGTTTTGTTTGCAGACTAATTTTTGCTTGTAAACAGTAAACAATACCATGGATGGCAGACAGCAAGCACCAGTTCATATTTCAAATAATGTTTTACCATAAAACATTCTACAAACTTAAAAGTACACTATGCTGAAGGCACTGAATGCTTCGGTTAGTTGGACGTGCTGAAAACCATCTCATATAAAACAGCAATTCAACACAGATGACTTTTGTTTTTCTCTTGCATTTATCTTTTTTTTTTTCTTAATCTTTTCTTTTTCTTTATTTTTTTTCTTTAGGAGATGATGAAGTGCCTGAGGAGGCTGATGAAGATCACGATCTTAAATTAAAAAATGAAAAATACTTTACAGTCACCAATTTCGGTGGCTGGTAGCCGGACAAAATCTAATAGTATTTTTTTTAGTATTCTATTTTCAATTTGGGACTGCTGTTCTGAGGAATGCTGTTTTTACACTTGAGTGAGAAATACTTGAATATGTCTATGACCATATGATTATGTACAGTGTAAGTGTAACTTACTTCAGTGTAACAAAAACTTTTCTCAATAAATAAAATATAAAATATTCTTATCTTAATCATATCTTACCTTATTAATATTAAATTTAAACAGTGTTAATTGGTATCAATACTAATTACTAATTTCACTAATTAAAATAATCATTTATAATTGACTTTAATTTTAATAGTAAGCATGTAGGCATGTAAGTGTAAGAGTAAGGCATGTTCATCTCTATAACTATAATGGCTATAATTTATAATTAATTAATTAATTATTATTAACTAGACTACAAAAAGTTAAGAGCTTCACTGATCATTGAGTTAAACTAGGACTGTACTGATATGATGGTATCAAATTAAGTAAATTTCAATGATCAACTCAAAACTCTACAGAACTTGCCAGCAACTGAAAATGTCTCGCTGAACTGATCCGCCTTCTGGGGTTACACTTACAGACTTACTCTTACACTGTTGTACTGTAGTGTACAGTAGGCGTAAGAATTAATAATGTGTAGACACAGGATCGTATTGTATACACACACACAAATAAAGATAATGAAGACTCACTCACTCAAACGTAAATTATACAGAAATATAACGAAGGCTCAGTGTTGAAGTAAATTGAAAATTGTTCAGGATTTGTTGTAGTATGATTCCAAATATGCGAAGCCGCATTGTCGCTAGGGAACGGATAAACATTTCCGGTGAAAATGAAACCGGAAACACAAATTTACATGCTGAAAGAAGTTTCCTTTTTAAAAAAAAAAATTAATCGTAAATCTTTTTGTCCATGCATAAATATGTAATTTTTTTTAAAAAAAGACATACAACGTTCATTACATATTTGTATATTTAAAGCTGAAAAAATATAATTGAGGTGTTTCTAATTATGACTGAGTAACTTGTGATTGTATGTATTTATGGTAAAAATAAAACGAGAATAACCGAGTCTGGGCAGGAATTATTGTGAGTTGGTAAATTATCAAATTATTATTAAAGGGCATTAGTGTGACAATGATGAATGTAAACGTCGAAATACATTTTATATTATATACTGGACATAAATAAAAAATAAGGTTATTTATCTGTTGAGTTATTATCGGCAAATTTAAAATATTTAGCAATCATTTATTCCTACCTCAATGAAGTCAATGAATGATTTACAAAAAAGCGCGCGAAAGGGATAAATAAAAATAGAATAAAATACAATCTTTATTAATTGTTAATTTATATCCATATGTGTTTTCACCTGAAATTGAATACTGTCAAGTTTCATCTAAATATAAATTATTGAATTGTCAGAATTAAATCACTAAGCGGCAACTGTGGATTAACTTACACCACACACCTCTCCATGATGACATCACACATCTCTTCATGATGACAGCACACATATCTCCATGATGAAATCACACATCTCTCCATGATGACTTCACACATTACTCCGTGATGACAGCAAATATCTCTCCGTGATGACATCACAATTCTCTCCATGATGAAATTCGTCTCCCCATGATGACCTCACATGTCCCCATGATGATATCACAAATCTCTGTCCGTGTTACCCTTAAGATCTGAGAGTTAAATAGTGGGGTCATTCGGCTCTAAAGAATGGATGTATATATTTACTTAACCCTAGACATTGGTCTATATATTTACTTTACCTTCGACACATTCCTTCATAGTCGTTCATACTCTTGACATAGGATATCCTATGTGATCTAGTTTTCGCTCGATTCACTCTTTCAATTTCATTTACCACATTTTCTGGCGTATAAGACGACTGGGCGTAAAAGACGACTTGGTGTAAAAGACGATTGGGCGTAAAAAACGAATGGGCGTAAAAGACGACCCCCTACTTATCCTGTTAAAATACAGGGTGTGGACTGTATACCAGCTTATAAGACGACCCTCTGGCGTATAAGACGACCCATGGGCGCCCGCAGAAAACTTTCTAGGGGGAGGCAAAAAAAATCGATTAACTTCCAGGGGGGGGGGCAAAAAATTTTTAGTAATGTTTTAATATAGTTTTAATGTACTGTAGCGTATTTGTATGGTGAACGAACGGACAGGACATCAGCTTAGTTACTTTCTCTTTATTTTTTCTTTACTTTAATACATTTTTTGTCTATTTTTGTCTTAAAAAAATATCCAATCAATCCAGGGGGGGGGAAGTGCCCCCCTTGCTCCTACCTGCGGGCGCCCATGAGGCGACCCCCGACTTTTGAAAAGATTTTCATGGGTTAAAAAGTCGTCTTAAACGCCGGAAAACACGGTAACTTAATGCACATACGCGCACTAGTTAATTATGTGAAATATTTGGCTGCATTTCGGAAATTAAATGTCCATTCTGATTCTGTTATTTAGTAGAGTTGCGCAAAAAAGAGAACTAAGTACGTTTTGATGTTTTTAATTTAATCGAAAAAGTATGGGAATTAATCCCATTTGGTACAGTTTTCTCGTCATTGAAAATAAGTGCCAATGAGCCCGGGCCAATTTGCTCGTGCCAAATATGTTAAATAGCGCGTGCTTGCTAGTAAGAGACTGTCATTTTATTGATATATTTTTTTTTAAAGTCAGTATTTAATAATTGCTCTTAAACATTTTTTTTTAAAGAACTCAAATATGTCATAGGAGCCACTCCCCCCCCCCTCCTTTTTTCTTCGACCTCTCGGTCCTATTTAGCACCCCCACTCGCCTTCAGACGCATTCATTATTTCGGCCAGCAGAGTTCAAGCCCTCCACATTCCAGCGCCCCCACGATGTCTTGTCCTCAAAGCCAAAACTGTCCCCCTCTCTGACCGTGGCGTTGACGAGGGGAAACTTTGAATAGCCTCGAGCTGCGTGTTACCCCCACCAACCCACCCCCCCCCCTCACCCCCGGGCCATTCACGAGGACATCCGGACCAGAGTGGTTAACGTGACCATTAGCAAGCCACAATCCAAAAAAAAAAAGAGTGAAAAAATTGGAAAGCGGGGGGAAGTTAAATACAAAATGGGTGGGAGGGGGGGGGAAAGGACCACCCCCCCCCCTCACCCCCGGGCCATTCACGAGGACATCCGGACCAGAGTGGTTAACGTGACCATTAGCAAGCCACAATCCAAAAAAAAAATGTGTGAAAAAATTGGAAAGCGGGTGGAAGTTAAATACAAATTGGGTGGGAGGGGGGGGGAAAGGAGGTGGGGAGCTTAGAAAAAAAACACACACACACACACCATCCCCATCTCGGTTAAGCGTTAGGGGGCGAAAATTCTATTTCAAAGCTTAAAACAGGAGAGCGTCCCTATTTGAGAGCTGTCACTTCTACACGAGACCCGTCAATCCACGACACAAAAGGAGTCGTGGCGAGACGGATTGTTTCCGGACACTCCGATATCTCGACGACCCGACGGGTCCCTCTCACTTTTCCTTTAACTCTTGTCGTCTCGGAGTTTACTCAAAGCGCTATTGTTGGCGGCTGACGCGGGACATTCTGCACGGACACGCACACACACAAAAAAAGAGATAGTCTTGATGGGGGGTGTTCGACACATTAGCAGGGGGTTCCGGGGGTGTCGAGGTAGAGATTTACATCGATGTCCGAATCTTTATGTGGATTTTAAATCCAAGGTATAATAATCCATGTAGGTCTGCCTCGTCTTCAGCACGTGGTCGTTGCACAGCTGGAAACCTTATACGAATGATACAAGACTGATCAGTACATGAACGCGAGCTGCTTGTGCAGCTATGGCTTATTTTAAATGTTGTACTCTCAAAACGAAATCGTCCTCTCCCCGGGGCTGTTAATTGTATAAAATCATTTCTAACTTTAACTTCATTTCTTTCGCAGAATTGTAATTGTATCAAACACGCAATTCTTTTCCGTAATGTAAAATGAAATGGGCCATTATTTTCATGCCCATTATCCCTTTTGACCATGTTCTGAAAATGTTCACGTACAACAAAATATTTACTTGGAACGTGTTCAGATAACAAACGTTCATGTATCAAATATACATAGAAAATATTGATAAATTATACATATTCCATTGAACGATGTCCATTCAATAAATGTTATATTCTAAATATAATAGGCCTACATGTTCATCTAAAATTGTTCATATTGCTCATGATCATATATATATATATATATATATATATTTATAATTACTTGTTTAAATGAAAATTAAATGGATTTTAAAAGTGCAACAGTCCAAAAGTTAGACGACCCCCCACCCATCCACACCCCCGACACATTTCTTAGATCCTTATATAACTTTTATAATTCACATGAACAGTTATAATATTCATCAAAGGTCACCATTTTTATTTTCGCTATCGGCGTTTCTCTTTTAATTTTAACATGTTGAACATTTTGAGCTAAAAAAAAAAATGCTATTCACGCAAAAAGGGGGGGGGGGGGGGGGGCAAAAGCAAATTCCTCCGAGGACCTTTGTATATTTCCCGATGTTATTTACGACCCCAGGATCAAACGAGCTTATTAACAAAAAGGGGGGAACAAAAGGCACAACTTAAACGGGGCATTCGCCACACCCGCTTACGGGGCAGGTGGTGCCCCTAGCGGCGATGTTTGGGGGGGGGGGGTGGTTACAATCTAGTAATACATGAAAACCTATAAGATTGTGCCCCGTGACTTTGAAAACCTATAAGATTGTGCCCCGTGACTTTGAAAACCTATAAGATTGTGCCCCGTGACTTTGAAAACCTATAAGATTGTGCCCCGTGACTTTGAAAACCTATAAGATTGTGCCCTGTGACTTTGAAAACCTATAAGATTGTGCCCCGTGACTTTGAAAACCTATAAGATTGTGCCCTGTGACTTTGAAAACCTATAAGATTGTGCCCCTGTGACTTTGAAAACCTATAAGATTATGCCCTTGTGACTTTGAAAACCTATAAGATTGTGCCCCTGTGACTTTGAAAACCTATAAGATTGTGCCCTTGTGACTTTGAAAACCTATAAGATTGTGCCCTGTGACATGCTCATACATGAATTACTTTTGGGTTATGTGTTAAAAAAAAAAAATTTAAAAAAGTGGGGGATCCTGATGAATGAACTTCCGGTCTTTTCTCTACTCTTCCTGAAACCTCAAAATAGAAATTAGAGGAAGCTGCGCAGAGCATCCATTCACTAGCATTTATACGTGCTTGTTTTCAGTGACGCTAGTTTTGGGAGCAGCGGTTTCGGGCGTCATTTGATGGACCATAACTGCTCCGAGGGTGCTAAGAAATATAAGGCTGTTACTGTCCAGAGTGCACCGAAAAGGCTAGGACTGATAGTGTCCAGAGTGCACTGAGAAGGTTTAGGTCGTTGCTGCTTACGTAGCTCAAGAATAATGATTAAATATTAATCAAACTATTTCAAACGAGGAACTACAAATTCTTTACAATTACGATCCAAGCAAACCTTTCTATTTCATTGGCTTAGTGGAAACTATATGTGTGGGTATTTATTTGTAAATCCCTGAATAACTCTTTTTGAACATATGAAAAGTTCTTTCACTTCATCTGGGCTTTTCTCTTATACATGCAGTCAAGTTTTCTACAATTATTTGTTGAATAACCCCATTACCGACATCTGCCCCCCCCCCTCTTTTCTTTTCGCCTCCTCAACACACCAGGGCCAAAATGTTTGCCCCCCCCCCACACACACACACTTTCAGGGAAGTAAGAAA